AAGGGGAAGAAGGAGAAAAAGAAGAGAAAACAGTGAGGTACCATGATGGAAACTGAAAGCTGCTTATCACTACTATTACTATTGCTGGTTGACGAATCTTAGACGGATGAGGATGATGATGAGGATGAAGGGTTTGCATTGCACGGAAACAAGAAATCGATGCATGCGGGCAGTGTAACAATTTTCTTTTACTATATATCTCTCTTTTATATTCTCGTCGAAGAAAGGACCAGGTATCGTTTCGAGGCTGATTATGAAGCTGATGTCTGATGTCTCGTCATTGTGAGCTGTACAGGTAGTAGTAGCAGTAGCAGTAGTAGCAGTAGTAAGTATCAACTTATTACTATTATATGCAATACATGTTACGTCGCTGCTGTTAAGCGTACATGGTACCGTGGTCCACGTGACGGTTGCATGGTTGGGAGTTGGCCGTTATTACCACCGGTATACTCGTATGTAGCAGCCGTTGTCTTATGACGAGTTACTATGATTTGCAGATAGCCGGTATCTGTACTCGTAACCTGTAACCTGTACTCGTACGTATGGAAGGTGAAGTGAATCGCGGGGTCATCCGCATAGGACGGTCTGTACGATGATGACGATTCTGCACTCCGTACAGATTAATCTGTACAGATATACATAGTGGTATATCAATGGTATATCAATGATACCTATACCAGCTATGTCGGGGATGTCCTCGCATGGGGTGCATTGTACATGCAATGGACCCCCCCCCACCCCCCCCCACCCCCCCCCTGAGCGGTACACATTACAATGATTCTTTTCTGTACTGTGTGCTGTACATGGTACATGTAATAGGAGCGGATACCCCTACCCTACCCCTACCCCTACCCCCTACCCTCAACCCTACCCCTTGGATGGTAATACAACTTTTTCAAGGATCAATCCTGGTTCCATAGATTCCAACTCCTTCAAGGGCTGATCGAAACGTACCGGTGACCAGTGCTAAGAGACTAGAGCCCTCTAGCAGTAAGAGAGAGAGAGAGAGAGAGAGAGAGAGAGAGGCAGAAAGAACGGAGACGACTAACCTGGTGGTCCTCGTACCGGGCAGGTTGCCAAGGGTCAAGGACGGACTCGACGCTAGTTCAGGAACCGAGGGCGCGTAGAGGGGGGTACGGGCAAGTCTTGTACATGCGTACATGCATGTAGAGAGAGTCGTATATGCTCGCATGCACTCCGTACGAGCACCCGAGCGTAGCCGTATAACAGCAGCATCACGTATCATTGGCGTCGCGGCTATCGTACCTGTCTGCACGGAGTACTAGATTTGTATATCACACGATATGTACATGCACGTCGCGCATCCCGTGCTCTGGAACTGATGCCGCACACCGCGGTCCGACCTGAACATGGTCACGTTCAACTACCGAGCAATCATCTCTGCTGAGGTAGGACGTCCAGTGAGGGGACATCGACGAGCACAGACAGGTAGGGAGAGAGGTAGAGCTCATCTGTCTCGCGGGGACGACGAGGACGGTTCGGCTCCCATAGGACGCTGCTCCAGCTGCCGGTGGATGGATGATGCCACGCGTAACCTGTACTGTGCTTGTACTCGTACAGCAGCGCACGACGCGTGACAACCCCCTTTCCCACTCTCGACCCGTAGAAACCCCTGACTATCGTCTGCGAGGCCATCTACTCGTACGGGTACGGACAGGTACGGGGTACTCGTCACACCTCCCCACCTTGTTCTCTCCCCTGGATTTCTGGAATGAAGGAATTCCCACGCGCACGCTATCCCTTGTCTCTCTCCTCTCTCTCTCTCTCGTCTCTGGCTTCTCTCTGTCCACCCATCTCCCCTTTCCCTTCCTGCCGTTGGCCTTCTTACGAGGCGGATATGCACAGCGACGGCTCAAGATGTCTCATGACCAACCGTTTTATTACTCTACTTTACTTTTGCCAGATTGCATATTACATAGAGTAATAGTGGTGGTGATACCGATACCGAGTAGTAGTAGAGTAATTAGTGCCGTACATGCAACCTGCTCCATTCCCATACGAAATCCCTCCTCCCACTCCACCTCAACCGGGGGGCGGGGGCGGTTTCCCAATCCAATCTTACAACCTGGACGTCGACAACCTCAAACATTCATTCGAGATTGGAGTATTTCCGGAAAAGAAATCATCTTTCATCCTATCCAAGCCACCTTTTACCTGTGCACACATACACTCTCTCTCACTCACGCACACACGCACACACACACACACACTCTCTCTCTCTCTCTCTCTCTCTCTCTCCCCTCCCCTCCCCTCCCCCCTCTCTCTGTCTTCTAGCTCATACAGACACGTACACTCACCTCGCTACTCGTACTCACAAGTACCAACAATCGCACATGTTATCGTCGCGTTCAACGACGACTGCTCCCCGGCTCCAGGGCACGCCTGTCTGACCCACGTCGGTCGCGCGACGCTTCATCAACACCACAGCACACACACACACACACACACACACACCCCTCCCCTCCCAATTCAATCAGTCAATGGTGCACCCCCGCTCACCATCCCCCCTCCCCCTAACCATTGTATACTAACTACTATTACTACTTTTTTTTTTCCTCTTTTTTTTTTTTCCACCTTTTTTTTTCTTTTCCTTTTAATCGAATAGAAGAGAATACTGGAATGCGGCAGCATCATCACCAGCCATGTCGCTCAATGGTCTGGATGATCCCAAGGTGGCAGAGGCATACGAGGCCGCTTCAGGAGAACCAGGAGGATGGTAAATGCTCTCTCTCTTTCTCATCCCTCTCTCCTCATCTCTCGTGCGCAGCGCGCGTGGGCCTTTCACAAATACCCATGATACTCCCCCTCGTTCACATCTATATGCTTCTTGCATGTACATGTGTGTGTGTGTATGCTGACATATCTCTTGTGTTGACAAAAGGTTCCTCTTGAAATACTCGAGTCGTGACCAGGTTGACATGCTGGCCAGTGGCAACGGAGGCGTCGCAGAACTGCGTGCAGAGGTCAGCGAGTATGATGAGCAGAGTCCTCTCTACGGCTTCCTCAAATATCGGAGGAGAAACGTCCTCATCAAGTACCTACCAGAAGGTTGTTCGCGTCTAATACAAGGTATGTGGATATCGTCCCCCCCCCCCCCCCCCCCCCCCTTCCTCTCTTTTGCCCGCTCTCTCACTCTCTCTCTCTTCCCCCCCTACCGGGTTTCCCTTTTTTTTTCTTGGCCCCACCGACTAATCTCTTTTCCCTCTCCGTCAACAAACAGCTCGCGTCGCCGTCCACTTCAACGCAGTCTGCGACCGCTTCTCACCTTACGACTCTCAATTTGACATCACCACCCCCGAGGAGCTGCGTGACTCCAAATTGTCCACCGCATGCTCCCTCCACACCGCCTCGGCTTCCTCCAGCTCAAGCTCCGGCTCCCTTCGCAGGAAGCATCTTATGGAGATTGCTGAGGAGGACGAAGACGATCCAGATCAAGACCAGCAACAGCCTGCCAAACGTCAGTCCCTCATAAAGGAGAAGGACTCCGTCGAAAGACCTGCCACGCCCAAGAAGCACTCACAACAGCGTCAGCGACAAGTCGATCAGGACCCCGTCAAGCTAGACGCTGACCTTGCCTCCTCACCCGAGCACTCCAAGTTCTCCGCCCCCAACACCTCCGAGGTTCCCAGCTTCGTCGGTGCCGTCGATAGCATCGACGCCGCCACCGCCGCCGCCGCCGCCGACGACGACGACGACGACGACGACGATACAGCTGATCCCGCCCGTCGACTATCGTCACAGTCTGGCCGGCCAGAGGTCTTCACGTCGTACTCCTCCTACTCATCCTACTCATCCTTTGGCAAGGCCAAGGTCAAGCTCGGTCCCAGGCCGTCCCTCGACTCGGCCAACACCCGCCCCCAGACGGCAGGTAACTTCCGTCCCGTCTCCTCCATCCCGGCCGGCTACAAGCTTCTCGGCAACAAGCACGCGCAGGGCTCCGCAAAGAAGTCGTCCTCGCGTCCACGCAAAGACAGTACCGTGAGCGCTACCAGTACCGTGCTGCCCGACTCGGCCCGTCTCACCGACATTGCCGCCGCCTCCCCTCCTACCCCCGACAGCACCGACAACGACAACAACGGCAGCAGCAGCAGTAACAACCTCAATGTCCACGGCGAGTCCGGCAACAGCAACCCATACCTCGTGACTTCACGTCCTGCTACGAGCTCGGGCGTGTCCACCAAGTCGTCGGCCTCCAAGCAGGCTATGACCCCTGAGAAGGCACGGCTCAAGAAGGCAATGCAGATGCGAGAGAAGAGAAAGAAGGCTGCCGCTACCGCTGGAACACAACCCATCCCAGACGTACCGACATCGACAACGACAACGACAACAACAGCAGCAGCAGAATCAACATCCACACCCACCGGAGCAGGTATTGACGAAGACGCCGTCGAGGCAACGATCACCATCGAAGAGATAACATCAGCATCCACAGACGAGGAGAACGAAGCCATGACCAAGTCAGACTCGGGTGTAGCTATCGACACGTCCAACAAGGAGATGGACGGCGCCTCGGAGACGACACCAGACCAGTCACAGTCCGAGTCGGGCCCCTCCAGCCCGGCCATGGGTCAGCAGTCGACCAACGCCTCGTCGGTGTCCGAGGTCACGGCTGCCGGCGACGAGGAGGACAAGACCTCGGACACTTCCCTGTCGAGCGGCTCGACACCGAAGCCATCCGAGGCGCAACGATCGGAAGACGCCCCCCCTTCCGCGGAAGCAGACCCGGCTGGACCCGACGACGGTCAGGGTGAGACGCCGACTGTGACGCGAGACATCGCACCGGCGACCGCGGCAGCCGGCGGGCCGACCACGACCAGGCAGCTTCAGCCTCGCAAGTTCGTCGAACCCATCCGGACCGACCTGGCCAACAACCGGCCGACGTCGATGAACTTCTCCGACAGCGAGAGCCTACTCGAGGAGCTGCAGAGCGCCACGGTCCAGGAGGCCAAGCCCATGCTCATGGCCAAGACGCCTCGCACACCCAGCTTCCCCATCGGCCCTGCCATGTCGGGGCCGGCGGATGGCACCGAGACGTCCACGTCGCCGGGGGCCAGGCCCGTGTCCAACGGCAAGCCGTACGCGGTTCGGACCGTGTCCAACCCCGTCCGCGGCACCAGCAGCGGCGGCGGCGACGGCACCGGACCTGCACGCGCCGTCAGCCAGGGAGGTGCCGCGTACCTCAGCCAGGTGACGCAGCAGCGCGGCGGGGACGCGGCCCTCGCCGCCAAGAAGTCCAGCATGATGGGCTCGAGCATCTCGCAGCGCATCAAGGCCCTCGAGCAGCTGTCGGCCAAGGGGGGCGACGCCCCCGGCCCCGGCGGCGGCGGCAGCAGCCTCGCCGCTCCGTCGTCGGCCCCCCGGCCGTCGTCCACCTTCTTCTCCGTCAAGAAGGACCGCGTGCCCTCGCGGTCGCCGTCGGTGGTCGACAGGACCAGCTCCCTGTCGGGCGAGCAGCGGGCCGGTCGTCCCACCACGGCCCAGTCCAGGGACGTGCTGCCCGACGGCACGCTGCGTCCGGCGCGGGACCGCTCCAGCTCCATCTCCAGCCGGCTGTCCATGTTCGAACCGACCACCTCGCCCGTGGGCACGCCGCGCGGACGTCCGGAGACGGTATCCGTGACGGCCAAGATCCTCCGCGACTCGCCGCCGGGGCAGCAGCAGCAGCAGCCACAACAGGACCATCCGGACCTGAAGCAGTCGCCCCTCCTGGTGAATCACCAGCGCTCCTCGTCGACCATGTCCCACGTGGCGGCCGAGGCGGCGGCGGCGGCGGCGGCGGCGGCGGCAGCTGCCCAGTCGGCGGACCACGCACCGTCAGACCACCAGCTGGACATGCAGGCGCGGCGGTCGTCGTCGTCGTTCAGCATCATGCGCGACTTCATCAAGGAGGGCCGCAAGCCGACGGCCATCAGCTCCCCGTCCACGGACAACCTGGGGCTGGGCCTGACGTCGCCCACGCTGTCCAGCAGCGGCAACAGCTTCACGCGTCGCCTGTCCATCGGCGGCAGCAGCCATCGGTCCCAGAGCAAGGACCGCAACGACGTGACGTCGGACGACGAGACGCGCTCCCAGAGCGACAAGAAGAAGTCGCGGGCCACGCGCTTCATGCACCGCCTGTCCTCGCTCTCGGGCTCCAGTAGGGGGAGCAAGATGTCGTCCCCCACGGCCAGCGGGACCCCCACCACCGTCAGGGAGGAGGCGGCGGCCGGCATCACGGCCACGCTCCTGCCGCCCATCAACCCCTCACCCTCGGCCAGCCAGCCCCTGGCCCCGCCTCCGGCCGCGGACCCGTCGGCCCCGTCGATCGTGTCGGCCATGGGCGACGTCAACGTGCAGTTCCCGGACACGCTGCTCTGGAAGCGCAGGGACATGTGCCTGGACTCTCAGGGCTTCGTCGTCTTCTCGACCACGCCGGCGGGCAGGCCGCAGTCCCAGCACGCCAGCTCGCAGCTCCAGCAGAGGAACAGGCGCTTCCACCTGGCCGACTTCAAGACGCCGGCCATACCCGACGTCGAGGTGCAGGAGCTGCCCAACAGCGTGGTGCTGGAGATTGTGGGCGGTAGTGCCGTCCAGGTGGCCTGCGAGTCTAGGTCTGGTCAGATGAGCGTTTTGAAGACGCTCCGAGATGCTCACGCCACCTATGCCGGACAATAGATGACATTTGTGTGTGTGTTTTTATTATTTTTTTTTATAACAAAAACTTCTTCTTCTATGTTTACTACTACACTGCACGCTCATTTTTTTTTTCATTTCTCTCCGAAATCAAAATACAGGGACCCTCGACCAAAAAATACCAGTTTCCTTTTTTCTTTTCTACTGTTCAATACTTCTACCCTCTAAGAAAGCCTTCGTTTGTTTTACTTTTATTATCATTTTTATACATTATATTTCTTTATACTCATGTACTTTATTTGACAAGCCCTATCATTTACTATAGACTTTTTTTTTATAATCTTTTTTTTTCTTGGGGTTTTTTTAACCTCTCCCTCTTGTTATATAACTTTGGCATTCTCTCTCTCTCTCTTTTCTTTTCTTGTCCAACAGCCCTTTGAGTTTTTTTATTAGGGGGGGGGGAGAGAAAAAAAAACCCACTCTTTCAACTCTTGGTACTTTACTTGTTACTACTAGTAGTACTCTTTCCCTCAAGGGATTCCATCACCTCATACAATGATTATGTTGGCATAATTTGAGCGAGCCGTTGTATTTATATATATATATATATATATATATATACATAATCCTGTCCTCTTTTTCCCCCGAGGCATTGTGTTTGAAAAGTACGAATCTGTTATCTCAAGGTAGTTTGTGGCACACACATACGTACATACACACTTGACAAAAGTTGACACACTCGGGGCTTGTTATGATCAGAGCAGCTTTATCATACTTGACTTGGGACTTTGCCCATCATCAAAGAGCAGTTCTATACTAATATTATATATATATATATATATATATATATATACATACATCATGACTTCTGAAGCGTGGGTTGGTTACAACGAGCACCTAGTCCAGAGCACCTTGATAGCAGCAAGAGAAAAAAAAAATAGAAATGAAAAAAATTCCATCCATGCACTTTGAGAGTTGGATCATCAATCAACCCTCCGAGGGAGTAAACAGTAGCCGTCACGCGTCTGAAAACTTGGGCTCCAACACTTCCGTCACCGTCCTTGAAAACTACCACCATGCATCAGAACTGCTTGGTCTCAGCACATCACCAACCCATCACAATAGACGACATCACGCACAAAAAAAAATTCAATGATTTTCTTTCCTCCCCCCTCCTCTTTTTCATTTTAATCCAAGATGGTCAGACGTGATGTTGAGGGAAATGGTGTGCACGTAAAGGTCATGTTGGAGATATTGGCAATCACACGGCTTGATATTTTGATATTGACAATGGAGCACCCGGAAAATGTGGACAATCCACGGGTAGGTAATATTGACAATGTCAGCCAAAATAACAGCATCTAATCTGTACATGTACATGTATGGGTGCTCGTACGAGTACCTCCGTACCGTATACGTTTCATCCAGACAAACAAACAGAGCCTCCATCGACTTCCCTGCCCCAGAGAGCCCCCCCCCCCCCCCCCCCCCCCC